GCTTTGCAATCACAAAACATGGGCTTTCTATTACCCGGCAGCTTAAACCTGTCTCATAGCACCATTGACAGAAAGGATTTGCTGTTTAGAAGCACTGACATTCTGACTGCGAGGCTCACTGGGGCTGGTTTGGGTGGGACTGGCTGACTTTCCTCGAGCACAGAGTCCCTGGACCAGTTTGTCGGAGAGAAAAGCTGTGAAATGCAATTTTGGGCAGCAGTGGTTTGAGTTTCTTAGCTTGCTCACCCTTTATAAATACACACAGACCCTGTCAACACTGCTGCTTCTCTTTGGGGAAAAATGCGCCAGTGTGGAAAAGAAAAGTTTTTTTTTTTTTTTTTTTTTTTTGTAGAGATTTATTGCAAATGTCAAATCTTACGAGTTAAAGTCTCTACCTTCTCATTTCTTGTTTGAAGAATCAACACACAGGCGTCACGCATTCCCCTCTGGCTCTCTCCAGCCTACAGATCTCTCTCTCACCCCAGGATGCTCTCAGGGATCTTGATTTCGCCTTTGGGGATCTACCTGTACAAAGGAAACCTGGCATCTGCGGGTTAGGTTCTCAAGAGGGGCAATTACTAGAAGCTTCAAGAAATGTCAAATATGAATACCTGGCAGTTTCACTTGGGGCTGACGACTTGCCTGACTGAAGCGTTAATTAGGTGGGCCTAGGGTATTTTTGAAGAGTTGCGATATGGAGGATTTTTAGCACCACATTTGAAATAGGGTTCATACGGGGAGGAGGAGACAGCGGCAATCACGCTGTGCAGAACGCACACAGAATTTTTTCTGGGATGACCCTCACACTTAGCCATTCCTGCCTCTTGATAAGCTTAGGGGGCAGGAACATGAGAGGGAGTGTGGACTTTGCTTCATGGAGGGAAGAGAAGAGGGTCTGATCAAGGATGGCACCTTTTAAGTCTAAGGAATGGGGATCACTTTTCTCTAGCTGAGACCCCTTTCCTATGACCAAAAATAAACAAAGCAGAATTATGCAGTCACAAATGGCTGGAATCACTACCTGGCTTCCCCACTTGTTTAGTTTGTGATTTTGAGCAAATTATGTAAAAATGCTTAGTCTTCTCATCTGTAAAATGGGGAGTGTTCCTATTTCTTTTCACCCTGTGAACATAGAAGGACTTTTGCACATGCCAAGACCTTTGCACATGCCATTTCCACTGCTTACAGTCCTCTTCATCGTGGGACATCCCTTCTCCTTATCCAGGATTCAACTCAGCTGCTAATGTCCAATCTAAAGATAATCCTTCCTCATCAAATTGTCTCATCCCTTGATGTGATTCTTCACGCTATGACTATCTGAAATTCTCTTGCATTTGTGTGTGTATTCACTTTCACCCATGACAAAAGGGAGCTTGTCCATTTTGCTACTCCTGGTGTCCCTAATGTTGCTTTGTACAATGCCTGGGATAGGCAATGCCCAACTGATATTTGTGGAATGATGGACCCTCATTGTCATTCTGAATGAATGACACTCTTGGAGCACTTACTATGTGCAAGGCACCACTCTAACCATTTGCAAAAATTATCTCAATTTTTTTGTCTCACTCAGAATAATCTTAGGAGATACTCATTCTTATTACTCCCATTTTATAAAGAAGAAAACTGAGGCATAGAGAGATTGAATAAACTTGTCCAAAGGCAAAGGGCCAGTAAGTGGTAGAGTCAGAGGAAAGCCCAGCAGCCCCAGACTCCACACTTAACCCCTGGGCTTGCATATCCTTGGCACAAGCTCCTTGGGAGCTTCAGACCCAATTTTCCAGCCGATTTCCAGGAAGCCATGACTGTGCTTGATGAGATCTGATAGCAAGAGAGACCGAAAGCGGACCTCAACCCAGACCCTCTTTGAAGGCTTCCCCTTTGCTCTGTATCAGCTCAGATCAGCAACTCTGGTCTCACTGTGTATGCTCTTCATCTCTTTGTACCTAGCCACTTTCGTGCCATTCCTACACTCTTTGAGTGGAAATGCCAAATGTCTGTAGCACCAATTTGTATCCACCTTCAGCCCCTGCACAGATCCTTGCCCACAAAAGTTAGAAGCTAAATACTTTTTGAAAGGATTTCTGGATGAATAAAACATTTTGAAATGCTTTTCAACAGAACACAGCAAAGCTGTTTAATAAAAGAGAACCATTAAATGCAAAAGTGCTTCCAGTGCAAGTAGAAATCAATATGTGTCCCTCACCTTAATAAACCCAGTATTGCCATACTTCTTGTCACCTCGGGGTCTTTGCACATGCTGTTTCCTTCACTGAAAACACTCCCACCCACACTTTTTGCCTGTTTGCTTGTCCTTAACCTCAGCCTGAGCCTAACTCCCTCCCAAACATTCTTCCCTAACATTTATTATGGTTTGAGGTTGTACCTGTTCTTCCTTAATTCTTTTGTTGGAGTTCTGTTCCCCTAGTACTATAGTACTAGAAGCTCCAAGAAGGCAGGACTGACAATGTCTGTCTTGTTAACCATCTCTTTCCAGAGCACAGCTCCAAGTGGGTAAACAAAAACATTGCCAAACGCACAAGTAAATTTGAAATGTCGGGTTTATAAATGTCCAAGGTGTGACTGAGATCCACATTAGAGGTTCAAATTAAAAATATTATTACAGTAAGAGACACAGTGTCACTCACCCCCTCAAAATACTCTTCCTCACTTCAAACACGCTTATTCCATCATTCTTGCTATTCTCTGAAGGAGTTCTGGAACTCCTCTTTCATGAGTGTCTTCACAAGATGTCACCAAGAACATGGTGAATGTCACTGCTGAGTGACATTCACCAGAAAGTCAGAGTAATAAAAACATGGCGGCATGTTCTCATCTACCTTACTAGTTAGATCTGGCACCACGTGACTTCGGCTTTTCCCCAAAGCCAAAATGACCAGGAAAGGCAAATGTTTTTTAATTGATTCAGGACATCAAGGCAGCTTTAGTGCAACTAAAGACACTCATGGAAAAAGTCTTCTAGAACTGCTTCAGAAACTACCAAGAACGAAATGAGTGTGTTATACTTTGAAGGGGATTGATGGTGCTGTATTTTTCACTGTAATAGATTTTAAAAATTTAAGCACTCACTGTATTTTTCTATTATACATCATATTCTACTGTTAGGAGTGTAAATTAATAGAACCACTTCACAGTTAATTCCCAATAGCTAAGAAAGGTGAAAATGCATGAACTGTAAGACATAACAAATATACTTCTATGTATATACTACCCCAGAGAACTCTCACCTATAAGAATTTCTCCTAGAGAATCATCTTGTGATTATTAACTACAGTGATTCAAAATAACAAAATCCTGAAACCACTTTAAATGTATCCATGTATACAGTTGATGTAATAAATTATACATAATTCATATATAATTGAAATTCATATAGTACTATACAGTCATTAAAATGAATAAGCTAGATGCATGTATCAAAATAACTCCAAGGTCTCAAAGAGATAATGTGGAATGACAAGAGCAGCATTTGGGATGGCGGAAATATTAGGGACAGGAATAGTAGGTAAAAGTGGCCCCAGACAGCACAAAGACCACAGCCTGCAGTCACCTCTGGTGACAGAGAAGAGGGAAAGAGAAAAAAAGTGCAAGTGGCACTGTTTCAGGGGGCTCCAACCATATCCATAGCGTCATTCCGTGTTAAAAAGAGCTGAAGCAAATCTAGCAAAATGTTCGAATTTGTTTAATCTGAGTGATGAGTGCACCAGGTGTGTGGGTGTGTTTATGATAGACACTTTTGCATGTGAACTATTGTGTAATATTTGAAAACACTATTGAGACCAGGAGGGGGAAGGGGCTGGAAAGAAAGACCAGTCATTGGACCTCAAAAAAGGACAGGTGCTCTCTGAGACCCTCCTTTGAAAGCAAGATTAAAAATGTTCAAATGCCAAGGTTGATTGTGAGAATGACTGAGGTCAACGTGTAGAATAACTTCCAGATAGTATCCATCAACATGTCATTTTGGGGTGAATCCTAAATGACTTTCTGAATGTGTCTTATTTGGGGAGGCACTTGTCTTTAAAACTGATCAGGAACTGTGTGGATACATTTTCAACTCAAATCTGGCCCAAGAAAAAGAATACATTGCTACTGTTTGTGCAAAAACTGTCTACATACAGACATGATATATAGACACATATACACGTAGATTATCTTTTGGCTGTGATTGCCCTGAGGCGATCACAGGGAGAAAAGAATGTGAATGACGCTGTTTCAGGGGGCTCCAACTATATCTATGGTTTCATTCCTTGTTAAAAAGAGCTGAAGCAAATCTAGCAAAAGGTTTGAATTTGTTTAATCTGAGTGATGAGTGCACCAGCGCTCTGTTGAAACTTAGATGGCTGGAGAACAAGAGTGGAAGAGAAATTTCCATTTTTGCTTCTGTTCTAATTATGCACCATGCTTGCAGATTGCCTAGTCCAAAAGTCAATTTAATTCATTTTTAAATTAATCTGAAAGTCATGATCACCTCTTCTCCTTCAATTCTAAATCTATTTAAAAAGGAAAGGTCGCAAAATCTAAGTTCTAAACAGGTTCATGAGGTTAGGTAGCACAGGCTCCTCCCTGACCCCATGTAGCTGGATAAAACCTCTCAGCCGCATATTCTCCACACAGCCAGGCCAAAGGGAGAGAATGGCATTTGGGATCCAGGAACCAGGTTTGGTTTCTGTCACCGTGACTTAGAAATGTGTAACATTAAGCAAGCCCCTTAAGTTCTTGGAGCTCAGTTTCTTTTCTAAAGCATGATAATGGTAGTACTGCAGCTGCTAATTATGTGAGGAACAAATAAACCAGAGCAGAAGCATCATTATAAAATTATGAGGTGTGATCTGTAATGCAGAGGTTGCCCCTCAAAAACATGGATTCCATCCTTTGACCTCCGTGAGTGTCCCGATAAACATATGCCAAAGGCGCCCTTCTTCACTTCAACAGCAAAGCCTTCTTTGCTGCAGAGATAAACCCAGTTCTCTTCTCTTCCACAGCAAATATCTTGACAGTGATCATCCTCTCTCAGCTGGTGGCTAGAAGACAGAAGTCCTCCTACAACTATCTTCTGGCACTTGCTGCTGCTGACATCTTGGTCCTCTTTTTCATCGTGTTTGTGGACTTCCTACTGGAAGACTTCATCCTGAACATGCAGATGCCTCCGGTCCCTGACAAGATTATAGAGGTGCTGGAGTTCTCATCCATCCACACCTCCATTTGGATTACGGTCCCCTTAACCATTGACAGGTACATTGCTGTCTGCCACCCTCTCAAATACCACACAGTCTCTTACCCAGCCCGCACTCGGAAGGTCATTGTCAGCGTTTACATCACCTGCTTCCTGACCAGCATCCCCTACTACTGGTGGCCCAACATCTGGACTGAAGATTACATCAGCACCTCTCTGCATCATGTCCTGGTCTGGGTCCATTGCTTCACAGTGTACCTGGTGCCCTGTTCCATCTTCTTCATCTTGAACTCCATCATTGTGTACAAGCTTAGGAGAAAGAGCAATTTCCGCCTCCGGGGCTACTCCACAGGCAAAACCACTGCCATCTTGTTCACTATCACCTCCATCTTTGCCACCCTTTGGGCACCCCGCATCATCATGATCCTCTATCACCTCTACGGGGCACCCATCCAGAACCGCTGGCTGGTGCACATTATGTCTGACATCGCCAACATGCTGGCCCTTCTGAACACGGCCATCAATTTCTTCCTCTACTGTTTTATCAGTAAGCGGTTCCGCACCATGGCAGCTGCCACACTCAAGGCCTTCTTCAAGTGCCAGAAGCAGCCTGTACAGTTCTACACCAATCACAATTTTTCCATAACAAGTAGCCCCTGGATCTCACCAGCAAACTCACACTGTATCAAGATGCTGGTGTACCAGTATGACAAAAATGGAAAACCTATAAAGGTATCCCCGTGACCCAATGGCTTGGGCACTTAGTGCCTCTGTGTTATTCATTTCCAGATGGGAGGGCATCCCATCCTGTGGCTGAACAGCTCTTCTAAGAGTGCTCACCTCATTTCCTGTCTCCACAGACTGAGCAATTCTCAGACTAGTAGATGACAAAAGATGGAAAAGAAGAAAGGAAAGCATGAATCTTGTTTTTTTATGTATTCCTTTTCACAAAATCATGTTGACAACAAAAGTTCCTATCAGTTGGAAGATGCTGTGGGAGGTCGTAAGTGTCATCATCTTGTGACCAGTAAGAACATACAGTAGAGGAATAGTCTGTGACTTAGCATGGGCCCGTCCACACTGACTGGGAACCACTCATTTACGTGACACACCAAGTCACAGTAGCATATAGCTGAAGCCACACTCTTCTTCCAAGAGCTGATGTAATCTGTTGCTTCCCTGTGCCATGTCCAGCAGCTAACAATACTGACTGATCAGGGATTTTTCCAAGGTGCCATTTGTCCTAGAAGGAGTTGTGACCTTTAAGTGGCCCTGGCACCCCTGGCTGCAGAAAGACATGATGGGGAAAGGGGATTATTGACTCTCACCCAAACTTTGGCCAGAGCTTCTGTGGGGAGGCTCCATACCAACATACCTATAACCCTTAGGTCTAAAATGTGGTTTTCTATTTGCCATAATGTGTAGATTTTATCTCTCTCCTCCAAAACAAAGACCCTGCCTAGTGCATGGAGGAAAGGAGGAATTCTTGAGCCCAGAAAATCAAAAAAAACAAGCCCACTCTTGCCATTGTTTCAACCCATCTCTGTGGCGGCTGTATACAATCCCCGTATTCAAAATCGCTTCTTGTTGTGACACTGCACAGCTTCCTAGAGAAGCCTTTTATGTGTAGACTCACCAGCCTTGCTTCCTTGCTTGCAGAGGCCCTTTGTTTTATTTGAAGGACTTCCTCACTGAATGTAATATTCAAGGGTCAAGAACGGTAGCTCTCTGGGTATGAAAGGATACATTCTCAATTCCTGTCCACAATGCAGCTGGCATTGCTACTAGACCACAAATGCAGACACAACTGACATGGAAAGGTATGGATGATGCCACATTTGTCACCTGTTCTGTGACACACATGGCTCAGAAGACTGGTGCCAGTTTTCAGTGAAGCAGTTAAGCCAGATCCTTTGCCAAATGATAAAATATAAGTGTATTTATTTTCCCCTTTTGCCTTTCCAAGACAAGAAAAGTTTGACGATCCAATTAATAGGGGCTTCCCTGGGAGTTCCCATTCCTGTGTGCACACACATGCACACATGTATATTTGAGTCTGTGAAATCCCTCTGTGTTCAGCGATGTGTTTTGAAGGAGAAGTCCATGCTGGAGTTCCTCTTACTTTGCATTTTTAAAATTTCTCCCCCAGAATCTCAGTATTCAAACTCAACCTTCCACTAGAAGAAATTTTCCAAACTGATTTGGGGAGTACATGCTGTTTTTGGTGGTGATATCAAAAGCAGACAGTCCACCTGGGATACTTCTTTCCTCGAGCTTGATTTTTACTGCATTTTGTCCCTAAACTGGAAGATAATGTCTTTATCTTTTTTATGAGAGTTTGCAATAAATGAATGGGCCAAAAAAGACCTCAGGGCAGCACAAACTCTAAATTTTAGCCAATACTTAATCAATATAATTCGGAGCCCTATTAGTACTGATGATCCTAAGTCCTACTTGTTTTAAATGATTGCAGTAGAAGGTTAGATTTTAAAGTTAGTGCAAAAGAAAATCCACGGCAGAGTCAAAGATATCTGTGCAAAGTCCTCCGTAAAGAGCCATGTCAGAGATAACTAACCATCTCTTCAAAAACCTAAGATAGCTAAATTTGTCCCCTGGCACTGGAACAGGTTTCTGGTTCTTTTGTTGAAGACAAGACTCACTGAATTTGTGTTTGAGGACTATGTTGTATGACTCTAATGTGTCTGAGAACATCAGGACCATCCTGGTACAGCAAGATGCTCCCACTAAAAGAAGGGCACAGAAGTTGTCCAACTGAGGGCCACAGATCCCCTTTCCTGTCTGACTTGCTCCCCAGGACATATGCTCGTTGAGAGAAACGGCAAGCAGAGTCCCCTACATCCCGTAAACTGCATTTATCTTGGTCTCTTTTTTGCCAAGCATGTGTAGTTGTGCGTGTGTTCATTAACTATGTGTATGGCGTGATTCCACCACACTCTCTTATGAATGAACATTGACCAAAGGCTACCTATACCTATATTTATTTATTTATTTATTTATTTATTTATTTATTTATTTATTTTTAAACCACATAGCTCTGGATAATACTCATATGAGCTATACATGAATGAGTCAGAGTGCAATATCTATCAAGGTTAAGCAATTCTTTTTTGAGGACATACATTAAGAAGGAAATAAGCCTGTAAATCTTAACACTCTCTGGTCCATATTTTTCTTATGTAATATTGATTGTTGGTTTTTTAAAACTGGGTGTGCATTGGGAATGGTTGCCTCAGACATTCATTTATTACTTCTCTTAACTATAGTGGTTCTACCAAGTAATGTCATGATCTCTTTTTCCTTCTGACTCGATCTTCCTAAATGATATTTTAAAATTTCTGATTCTGGAAAGCACTCTGGTGAGTTGCTGTCTTTTGTTGAAAGTGCATAAGAATGACCATAGGGTTTAGCTGATCCACATCTCTTAAAATTATTTGAAATCATAGATATCTTTTAATTTATTATTTCTGTATGACAATAATCATGGATAATGATGAAAAGGGTTTTCTTTTTCACTTTAAGACATTTGGAAGCCTTTTCTTTCAGACCAGTTTTGGAAACAAAGCCTTGAATTTTGAAACCTGCCATGTAATCAGATGCTACTGAGAGCACCCAAGTTGTTGCCTTCACCTGGATTTTTGTGATGCCTCTTTCAAAGACTGTTAACAAGCATCCCCCTTGCCGGATGCTTTGATTGGACATTGCTATGATTCTACACACATACATGCTATGTCTTGTTACTGAACAAATCTAAGTCTGAAATGTCTCATGAGAAAGGAAAAGAGGAGGATGACAGACAAATAATAAAAGACAACCCATGGGAGGGCATGAACTTCCGTTTTGCAAACATCTGCATTGGAAAAGATTACTTTGCACTGTTGGTGCCCACTATTCCAGCAGGAGGAGCTTACCTGAAGTGAATAAAAGATTAGCGTTGCCTATTTCCACTCAAAGGATGGAATAGAAGGTCACCATAGAAAAATAGTAAATGTTCATATTTTCTTAATTAAATAATATATTGTGTTTGGACTTGTTTGTATTATAATAAATTCTAAAATGGTGCAAACTTGGTGTTTGGTAGTTGGATATATGTTCAAAAAATTGCAGAATGCTGAATTTCATTCATATTAATTGTATATGGTATGGGACACAACATAATGTTTTGATATATGTATTCAATGTGGGATGATTAAATCAAAATAATTAACGTTATACACCTCACATATTTTTGTGATAAGACACTGGAAATGTATTTCCTTAGTTATTTTGAAATATGCGGTATTATGGATTACTGTCACACTACTGTGTAATACCTTCCAAATTTTATTCTTCTTGTGCAACTGAAACTCCCCCATTCCCTTGTTCCCATTTCCCCTGGTTCCTGATACTGATACTCTATTCTCTACTTCTATGGGTTCAACTTTCCTAGATTCTACATACAAGTAAGATCATGTGATAGTTATCCCTTCTGGACTTGGCTTATTTCCACTTACTATAATGTCCTCCAAGTTACAAATGCTGACTAAGACTTCTAAATGGTCATCTCATTTATACATTATGCTAGAAACTAGAATAAACCAGTGGTTCCCACCTGTCAGATATAGTTCAGAATCTAAGGCAACTGAACTCTGCTTCCTATAATCATAAATTGGGTCATTTATTGAGTATAAGTATAAACTCTTTTCTCATCACATCCTCTGTATATCTTTGAGACAGTGATAGTTGTAATCATAATTGGGAATTTAGCATAACAGCTAAAAGCTTGGAGCTTGGTGTTAGTCATATGTGAATGTCCCAGCCCCACACCTTATAAGTTATATGGCCTTCAACAAGTCCTTGAAGATCACTGATGAGGACATCTAGAGAACAGTGTAAATTTTAATGGTTTTAGTTGCCTACAAGACAAGTTGATGCTTTTCTGATAAGATGCCCAAGATCTGGAGTCAGTTATTGCAGGCTGTGACTTTGCAGGCTGGGTGGCCTTGAGTAATATTCTCAGTCTCTGTGAGCCTCAATTTCTTCTCCATAAAATGGGACTGATCATAGTTCCAGTAAGAACTTCATGCAGTGCTTATGAGAAGAATGTCTAAGACTTCCAGTTGTATGTCATTTTACAGGTGAGGGTGCTAAGCTAAAATTGGCGAATGGTTTTGTCCAAGATGGAGGTCGAGTCACTCAAGGCTTCACCCTTCCCACTCTACCACTTTGCCTTCTCTGCCAGATTCTGAGTCATCCCCCAAAAGATCACACTATTTTTATGCCCTTATTCCTGTTGGAAATATTTCATACTTTTGCAGCTCTTCAAACCCAGGTCACCCAAGCATGAGATATATTACAACAGCATCATAATTGAAACACTCAGCTTGACCTTTTCCTGTAAGGTAGAACTTTTCTAATTGATTCTATCAGCTCTCAAACTTGCTGTGCATTTTCCCACACAAACCACCATCAGTTCTGACAGCCACCCACAAACTATAGTCACAATCCATCTTTGCATCAGCTTGGCGAATGAAAGTGACTTGTAAGTTAGGGGGAAGTACATAAAAGCAAAGAACTTACTGACAGGGTCACAAACAGAAGCTGTTAGACAAGGCAGCAGCATCCTCATTAATTTTACGCACCAACTCTGGGAGAGCAAGATCAAAGTGAGTTAACTGAGGTTGAACTGTTAAATAATAATCCTTTTATAAATGCATTCAGCTAAATGTGATGACCCAGACTCTTTG